CCCACTCCCCCAACTACCACGACGCCAGCACCACCTCCTGCTCAAACAACCAGCGCGCCTCCTCCGCCGCCCCCAACAAGCACGCCGACGCCTTCTCAAAGTACCCCTCCGCCAAAAACGACCGCCCCATCCCCCCCAGTACCACTAGTGACCGTGCCGACCACACCGTCGCCGCCGCCTTCTAACCCCCCCCACTTCGCCACAAACAACGACGCCTGTACCCGCCCCCCCACTTACCACAACACCAACACCATCTCCTCTGCCGGGGCCGCAGACAAGCACGCCAACGCCTTCCCCGACTCAGCCAGTCCCAACCCCGCCAGAGCCTACTATCCCGTCTCCCCCCTTGCCTCAAGTTACCGGCTCGACCGCGCCCCAACAACCGCCGCCCAGCCTAGTGCCCCCCCTGCCACAACCAACTGTCCCAGCTCCTCCGCTGCCGCAGAATGCAACTCCGCAGCCAACAACCCCAGCCACTCCCTCCCAGACCCCACTCCCCCCCCCTTTAAGTGCCCCGCCAGTGGCCACCCTTCCCTTATCGCCACCCAATATCAACCCGACCCCAACGATCCAATTTCCGACCATTCCTCCATCTCCAAGCCCCCCCGTGGCCACTCAACCGGGGCTGTTTCCGCCCGCTTCAAACACTCCCTCCCCAGCACCCTCATCCCCGACCGGAAGTCAAGCCCCACCGCCTTTCTCCACTGTTCCTTTGCCGACAGTCGCGACCCCCCCGGTTCCTCTCCCCGGCCCTTCGTTGTCACCCCCAACAGTAACGCCTACGTCTGGTCCGCCTGCCACCAGCATAACCCCAATCCCAACGAACACGCCGCTTGCATCTCTCCCTATTCCCAGCCCTAGCGCGTCGCTTGCGGCTCCATCGCCCTCACCTCTAGTTCCCATCGGCAGCCCTTTCCCGGTGCCGATTAACACCCCCTCGAATACGCCTTCCGGCACTCCTACAGTCATTGCCCCGCCAAACGTCACACTCGCCTCTTCTCTCCCTGTCGGCTCAAGCCCTCCCACAGCCTCCGATACCCCGGGTCCTTCCTTCCCCCTCTCTAGCCCAGTGCCGACCGGCAGTAACTCGCTGGTTTCGCTGACTGCCTCGCCGCCTCTTCTGCCCGGGCAGCCGACAACGCCCAGTCCTACCACGGCCGTTCTCCCAGGCTCCACCCTTCCGCTTCCAACCCTTGGTCCATCCCCTGCGGGAAGCGCCGTCCCCTTTGGAAGTCCCGTAGCAAGTGGCGCGCCGGGAACGGGTTCCATCGATGCCTCAACCGTCGCTCCTAGCCCAGGGTCTACAGCCCAAGTGCCTGTACTCCCAAGCGACGGGCCAGTCGCAGCCTTTACGACTTCTGTAAGCCCGCCACTGCAAACGGCACCCGTCCTTTTCATCTCCGGCAATACCGCGTCTCCCTCCGAATCACCCCTTTCCTCCGGCATCCCCGTGGGAACAACAGCTCTCCCGCTTTCCCCAACCTCAAACCCAGTCTTAACCTCAGGCCCGGTTCCGATCCAAGCCCCGGTCACAACGCAAGCACCGATCACGACGCAAGCCCCGGTCGCGAGCCAAGCCCCGATCACGACACAAGCCCCAGGGACAACCTCAGGCCCGGTCACGACACGAGCCCCGGGGGCGACATCAGCCCCGGGCTCGACGCAAGCCCCGGTCACGAGTCAAGCCCCGGGGGTGACCTTAGGCCCGGTCACGACCTTAGCCCCGATCACGAGCCTAGCCCCGGCAGCCACGTTAAATCCAGGGGTAACCCTATCTCCAACGTCTGCAACCGGCGCTCCGATCACGAGCCAAACCCCGACATTAAGCCAGGTCCCTGTGGCTACCGTTGACTCAGCCTTGGGAACTGAAGCCCCACTTCCTGCGGGTACGCAAGCGCCGAGTGTAATCCCCGCACCGGGGACCGCTCAAACCGCCAGCCCAACAACACCCCAGGAGACGATCCCCAGGGTCAGTGCCGTCCCGTCGATTTCACCTCAGCCGGCAAGCACGTTACCGATCAGCACAAGCCCGGTTCTCTCTGTCGTGGAAGAAACTCCAGTCCCCGAGCCCGTTCTCTCCCCCGTGCCCACCCGGGTTGGCGTCATTACGCAAGCTCCTCTCCCAACGAGTCCGATTGGCGACCCGACAGTTGTTGTCCCGAGCCAAGTGCCGGCTTCGAGTGTGGTCGCCGGAATCTTTCCGAGCGAGATAAGTGTCCCCGGTTTGCCCGGAAAGTTCGTCGCGACAGCCTCGTCGCAGCTCTTACGCACAGAGACGTCCATGCGGGAGGTGCCCGGTACGGCCAACACTGTCGCCAGGTTCACTACGGACACGCCGCAGAATGTGGGCGGCATTCTGCAGGTAAGCAGGGCCGGTCCTTCGACGAGGTTCAGAGATGGTACAAAGTTCCAGTGGTCCTCAGGCAGCTCCGTCCGTTGGTGGTACAGAATTTTAGCTTTGGAAGCACGGGGCGCTTAAATTGAGACGCCGATTCTTTAGCAGGTGGTTGCAAACCAGGTCGCAGGGTCAAGGGCGTGGTTTGCCGTCGATCGCCTCCTGCAGACAATCGAAAACCCTGATTATCCTATGCGTGTCGTACTGGTTACAAATCAGAATCTCCTCCTCTTCGGACAAGGGACCCTTGTTCGTACAGATCACGAAGACCTTTGCGCTGCAGACACGTAAGATCCGGCGAGCCGGAAAAACCTGTGCCGCCCTGTCACACCCCTGCAAACCGGAAGTGAACTGACCCAGACTTGGCAGTGTTCAAAAGCCACATATAAGCAGCAGAACCTTGTACACCCTCATTCGGAGCTGACTTTGATCAGCTTCGAGACGGTTCTCGTCAGTCTCGTTCAATTCCTTCCGTTGATTTCACGCCCCTCAAGCTTTGCCGCTTTCGTCCGCTGCAGCTGCCGAAGCTCGGAGACTTCACCAACCTGGTCTCCCCTCCCATCTCGTTCCAACTGGATCCCGCCACGGCCGCGCTGTGCGGGACCGCGTGCGTTGCTTCCTGCCGGGTAAGCGCGCACGTGGCCCTTTTCCGTAGTTCAATTCGCAGTGCACACGAGTTTGACTAGGGCACAGATAGACGTATGGCAGTGCCGTTCTGAGGTGCGGAGTCGCCACAGGAAACGATGTATAAAGGTGCACCATGATACCCTAAGGACTGCGATGAGATTCTTACGTCACAAACCAGCTTCCTCGCAACGAGCAAACATAACCTGTTCTGGGCAGAGGTCACCGGGAATGGCGTGAATGGACACCAGCAAAGCTGCTTCTCCGTATCTCTGATCTGTTAATGTCAAGAGAGAAATACCCCAAGAACTCGCAAGGAATAAAGACGACCGCTCATATGTTGATGAATCCGAGGAGTTTTTCATCGTACCTGGTCGTTGCGCATCTAGCCAGTTCTGAGCATCTTCGTCGATAAAAGCATCCACTTGAGGACTGACCGACCTTGACCGGCAAAAGTCTTGCAATGCGAATGTTTGCCGCGCACATTCAGAGCACATTGCAAGATACTTCAGGCTTCTCCCATCTCGACCTTGTGGCGATTTCCTGGTAGCGGCCTTTAATCGATCCTCAAGACCCTTTATAGTCACACGAGTGTTCCGTGTCTAACCAAACCCGGTAAACAGGTCTGACCTACATTCAAACCAATCCATCTGGGTACAATGGCTTCCAAACACCGCCGAAGCAGGCTTGCTTAAGTGTGGTGTCCCCTTTTGGATTCGCAGGTCGACGACTTGGCCCCTGTTCCCTGCGGGTCCAGCCAGGCCGCCGTAACTCCGGCTAGCCTGGAGGACGGTTACCACCGCGTCACGGCTTCTTTCTCCCCTTCGCCCGGGGCACTGGCCCCGGTCGGTGTGCTCAGCATATTCTTCACCGTGGGTAAGATCTTCAACGTGATGTTCCAAGCTCAATACGCCTGCGGCGTTTAAGAATCATGAATTCACGAAGCAAATTGCTTCCAATCGATCATCGAGCAACTTGACAAGCTCGTGCCTTCAAGCGCCTCGTGTCATGAATGAGCGTCTCAACACGTTACTGCAAGTCTGCTTAAGACCTTTTAGCTATTCCAGACCCCCGGCGTGCCTCGTATGCTTGCGCCATACTCTTGTCGGCAGCAAGTCGCCACTGGTCAGGTTGCAAGCGTACGGCAGTCCCGAATCATCTATCTCTGAGCTCCTTGCAGACACGGTACCTCCGACCGTCTCTGTTGCCTTGGAGGCTGACAACAACGAGTCACCCCAAGTCTTCATTGACGTCATCGACGGCAGGCAGACCGTCTTCATGACCTGGAACACCCCGGCGGCTTGCCCCGGGTACGCCGTCGCAAGCGAACCGGTCGACAACCTGAACGGAAATTCGTTCAACCTGGAAGGCGCGCAGTTGATCAACTTCCAAGTGGACACGTCACGTAGCGCGGGACGGAGGCTGAGAGCCCTTCTGCAGGCGAATCCCTCCTTAGCGAACTCTTCTAATCCGGTCGCCTACAGATTTCAAGTGAGAGAGCTTGAACCTTTTCTACTCTTGAATTTGGCCCCAGTCGTTGATAATACATGGAAAGGTATTCGGCCCTGGATTTGCACAGTCCTAGGATTAGGCACCATCATGAGTGGTGTCTTCGAAGGTCTTTGTTCTGCCACATGTTCCAAAAACCGCATCAGAAACAGCTCTCCTGTCTGCGGCCGCGACCTGATTGGAAGCTCCTTTCCAACTGACTGCGCTCGAACTTCGAACCAAAGACGACGTAGATCCTTGACCTCCTCTAGTCTTTTGTCCCTTGTCTCTGAGCTGGCTTGCCGCTCTCACAATTTTCTTATGCACATGTCGAATTGTAGTATCAGATTTTCAGCCCCGAGAATCATGAATCGTAAAACCAAGTCTGCCCAGCATAGAACATCGAAGGTGCATCTTTCTTCTCAATGAAGTGAACAGATCGGTCGAGCGATCACTCTCAGCCGATTTGCGCCCCGGTTTCTCCAGGTGGTGCCAACCGGGTCCGGTCCCGGGCTGGTGAGAGTCTCAGTGTCCCCGGCAAATCTCGCAGACCGGGCAGGAAACCCCATCCAGCTCACCGGAAGCTCGTCGTACGTCATGTACTACGGTGAGTGCGCCATCACACGTTTCGAAGAGGCAATGATATCCTTTTCAATTGGATCCAACCTCCCGACCAGGGATGCTTTTTGCATATCTTTGCGCATGAATGAGTGCACGTTTCGATCCTTGTGAGTGAATCATTCTGTTGATGCTGCGCAGATCGGGATCCCCCGACGGCCCTCCTGCAGCTGGTGTCCACGAGCCCCAACGGCGCGACGTCACTATCCAGCGACCCGGGGGTGTCTTCCGATCCGACTGTCACGATCGTACTCGACTTCGACAAGAGGGTCATTGGCTTTGATGCCAACTCGGTGGTGCTCCAGAATGGCACGCTTATCAGGTAGGGCTGCTATTTGGCAGCTCCTCAGTGAGTTGTTCGAGATCATCTGAGATCATTTAAGGACCACCACCCTCTAGTTCGTGGTTCTGCCAGTGGGCCTCGTCCGATTTGAAATAGTGGTCAGACACTTTTTGAGGGTTGATTCGTAGCGCCGTCAGTACTTCCGCGGCGCTCGCGGTTGCCGGGAGATGAGACAAACGTGGCGTTGAAAGCAAGCACATTGTCTGGGGTAGCCTTGTGAGACAGGACTTGGGAGATACACGCAATATCTGAGGCTCCTTTCTCCTCCATCCGCTCTGCAAAGAGCTGGCAGCATTAAGCAATAAGGACCTGATACTCTGGTCAATTCCTACGCCGCATGACGTGTTGTTGAAATCTGAGTGACGTTGGGGTTGTCCGGCAGGGCCGGTCCGAACGCTGCCAGCGCGGAGGGCTTTTCGTACGTCCTGACGGTCGCCATCGACCCGGGGGCCACCCTGGTACTCTTCGTCCCCGCAGACAGCGCCTACAGCGTCGTCGGACTGGGCAACACCGCCTCCAATCAACTGCAAGTACTCAACTGTGAGTGCCCAAACACATCGCACCGCGTATAACTATTTCCAGGAAAGAGTCTCATATGATGTCGCATGAAGCAGCATGTCGGCAACACCTTAGCACGAACGATCCGAGAAAGAAAAAGAGGTTCATATCACGGAGTTTGGAATCGGGTGGGCAGCTCGGCCAAGAAATCCTAGTTTTCGCTTTGCAGACGCGGGCAGAAATTCATCATTGTACCCATTGGGATCCGCTTTAGGAAAAAGCTAACTGGATTTTAAGCGTTCACATCAACCTCAATAAGTGATCTAGGCCGGATTTATTGATTGAAACAGAGTAGATAACGAAGACGCTTGAAATCCTCTCTTACGAGACATTCAAGTTGTGGGTAAATACGCTTACACGGACACTGCTTCTCTCCCTTTCAGACGCCATCAACACGCAGCTTCAGTCGAGTGTGCGAGCTACTGCCGTCGCTTCCTTGGGAGCCGTGGCGGTTGGGAGCGTCTTAGCAGGTTCAGGAACCCTGTTTATGGTGAGTGGCATCATCAGCCCAGCGATCTTCGCCTACGAGATCCGCTGCACTTCGTGAGCAGGGCCGTATACATCGAAACCTTGGTACTCTTTCTTCCATCCAGGTTTGCGGTGTCTCGGTCAAAGACCCCTTGAGGTGACAATTTTTGGTTATCTGAACACATCTTAGGGCGCTTGCCCCCCCATTCAATAAAGCTAGCATCTGTAGTGTAAGGTGGACCTGTCTTGTGTTAGCAATCTTGTTTTTCCAGAGTACACAACGCTAAGCAATAGAAAAGCAATAGAAGTGCTCCACCCTCCTGGCTTCATTGTGCAATTCACGCGCTCCCTGCGCCTTTTCCAGACGGTTGCCTCCAGCTTCAGCCTCTTCGCGGCGCGTCTCAACCTGGATGTTCCGCTTCCGACCCCTTACCGGGACGCGAGTTCCGCCCTCGGCTTTGCTCTCTTCCGCTGGCCGTCTCCGTTCGACACGCTCTCGGGCAGCAGCCCGATCCCGTACACGGAACGCCCACAGCCGCTGGGCTCCGACGCTCCGGTCGGTCCGGCCAACGGAACAGCGGCTGTCAGCGACCGCGGCGGCGGAAGGAGGCGAGCGCTGCTGCAGGCGGCCGCAAGCAACGGAACTCTGCCCAACGGAACGATCCCGCGGAACACAACCCTGGTGAACCAGGGACGTCCGATCGTCTTCGGAGACAGGAGCGTGTCCTTTGAAGCCACCACCAACTCTTACAGCAAGGAGCTGAGTGTAAACGCGCTGAGCTTGTTCCACAGCAGCGGACATGACGGGTGAGTAAGAAGTGCCACCTGTAATCGATTATGACTTGCACCTTCGGCAGCTGTACAAAGGCTGTGGCAAACGGCGGTCGCCTTTGAAAGATTGAGATGCGAACCTGCGAACTTTCATCGAGATGTGGCGAGGACTCTTGTAATCCGCTCTCCTCGAGCTCAGAGCAATTTGGCTCCCGGAAAAAGTCCGAATGTGACGGCGAAATCCATCATCGACCGTCTCTGGAGATTTTTCAAGCGCTGAAGACCGTTGCTAAGTATGCGGATAGACAATCCGTGACTTGTAACACTTGCAGCGCACTTGCACCTACTCTACCTCCTAAATAGTGACGCATAATCCGAATAAGAGGCCAGTTCAACCTGTTGTCAACGTGTTCCTGCCTCCTTGTCTCAACATCAATCTAGGCCCTACACCTTCCCGCAGTTTGACAGTGAGCTCTGTCAAGCGCCCGACCTGCATTTCGCAAAATACTGAAACGCGATCATGATCCTACTTGAAGAAGGCCATCGAAGCGAGAAAACGCGCCGGCTGTGATTCACCGAACCTCGGGTTCTGCGCCGGCTATCACGGTTCGGACCGGCCGTGATCCTCTTCTCGTACTTCTGCCCCTTTTCCAGGCTGCGAAGCTTGCTGCGCACCGTGTTCTACGTGACGGTCATCCTCCTCGTGGTCTTCCTGCTCCGTTACCCCCTCAGGGCGGCCTCGCTCCGGCTCGCCAAGATGCAAGCCCCCCCCTCCTTCTTGGTATTCCCGGCCATGGAGCTGGCCTTCTTCTCAGTTGCGCTGGTGGCGCTCTCGTACGTTGCCCTGGGCGCAATCGTCGGTGAGTGGGACCACGTGCCCGTCTGTGGCGCAACGACAAACCTTTTAGATATACCAGATTCTGCGCGACTTTTGAAGCAGTGTTGGGTCTTACGGCGTGAACTTCTGATTTTTAGATTCCTCCAAGTAAAGTCTACCGACACCGCACCAGCTCGTGCTTGTCGTCAGGATCTCACGACTCGGATTGGCTTCTCTTCCTCATCACTGTAGTCGTTCCTGCAGAAGCTCTCACAGATCGCTTTCGATACGATGAGTGTTGCATTATCAGCAGGTACCCTGCTTTAAACAAACCTGTGGGCAGATCCTTTGAAAGTCTCTCGGCCTGCTAAAGTCAAGCATCGCTGGTTGAAAAGAAACGACTGTAAGCTGCCGCTCCGCAGCTCTTCATTCCGCACATTTGTTGCTCAGCCCGTCGACTCTCAATGATGATCTGGACGTAAAGATACTCGTCTATCATCTTTGATGGCTTCGGAAGTCCAGCCCGGCGGTCTGATCTTCCGGTAATTTCAGCTTGTTCAGACGTCCCGCTTGCCCGCATCTCTGTACCTTACCAACTCGAGTTGTGCAGGACGCTCTTCTTGGGGCATCGTTCTGGGGCTGCTCGTGATCCTCGCTGTGATCTCCTTCTTCATCCTGGTGCTGTCCGTAGTAGGGCGCCACGTACTCATGGTGAGCAAGATCAAACGAATCTCGCAAGATGCTTATTGTAGAGTGCTGAATCTGCTACAAGATAAAACTTTTTGATTGGGTTGCCTCTCGACATGCATGAACATGGACTAGTACAACTCTCGCTTTGGGTATTGGCCGTGTCAAGATCACCGGAGGCACTGCGTCCCTACGAGCGTGGTTCTTTGCTAGCTGCTGTCAACTAGCATAACCAGAGCTCACGCGCAGAAACGTTCTCTGTGTAGCCCGGAAACTGCATGAATCGGATGCCCCATTTTATGTTCTTCAGCTTCTTCACAATTTCTTGAAAGAAACAGGAATGCCTTCCGATCTCCTGATATCAGACATGGTGTTGAACACCTGAACAAGCAGCATCTTCAGTGCTTAGCTGGACTCCTGACCGTTCCCAAATGCTTGACTAGCCGTCTTTGTTTCCTCCAGAGCAAGTCGGTCGCTTTCGTCTCCGAGCAACACCGTCCCGGGGCTTCTCTCGCCGCCTGGTTCCGGGCCCCCGTGAACGGCTCCTGGGAACCGGTGGATACCGCCGAGGGCGACGAATTCCGGGCCAAGTACGGCTACTTGTACCAAGACTACGCGGGTCGCCCCTCCGAGCTGGTCATGATCGGCCCGCAGCGCCTGACCAGGTCGGCGACCAAGAAGGGCGCCCCTGCGGCGCTCTCCTCCCGGGCTGTCTCAGGGGCTCGTGCTTTTTCGTTGTCGAAGAGCTTCCACCTAAGCGAGGAGGAATTAGAGCAAGCCAAGGAAGACGACCCCCCGGAAAGAGTGGACCCTCTTGAGGGCGGCCTCACGAGTACCCCGGTGAAAGCTCCCGAGGAGGCTCTGATTGACATTCAAGAGGAACCAGAGGAGCCCACACAGGATCCCACATCCCCGGAGAAGGAGACCAGTGACGTCATTGTGACGTCGCCCAACCGGGAGCCCCTGATGGAGACGGCGCCCGGCAAAAGGGCGCCGGGCGCAAAGCTGTCCCGATCGCAAACCATGCGCACGGTGCACCGGGTGGGCAAGGTTGGCCCCGGGGCGCACCTCCGACCGGGGTGGAAGCTGATGACGCTCTTTGTCGTGGTGAGCGCGCAAACCGGGGCGAGGGCCAATTGGCCGTCCGTTTTTAGGTCGCGTTCCGAAGGGGTTTTCGTTCAACGGGGTTTTGAAACTTCCGCGCAATGACGTCGTCGATCTGAAGTCAGAGACGGGTGGGTTTTGGTAGGATGACGTTAGCATGGTTGCTGCACAGAGACTTGGCCGGTCAGAAATGGCGGCGGGTCAGCCTCCCAATCTATTAGCTGCACACGGGGTCCGTTAGTTGCGAGTGTGCTGAGCAAAGGCCGCTTTAAATCTGCCGGGATGCGGCTGCCCATCCATCAGCTGAATGCCAAAGTCTTTGACTTTAAAACTGCTGATTGACAAATCGTAGTCTTTCAAAGTTCCGTTCGAAGGTCCGCAACGAGCCTTCGAGTTGCTCGTTCACCCATCAACGCGCGGCCTTGCAGTGTTTGCTCCAGCTCATTCCGCTCATACTCGTCCCGCCCGTCTTGCAGGCCGTCGAGGCCGCTCTGCTGGGTGCGACCCACGGTGTGCGTGCCCAGTACTGGCAGGTCTGCCTCATCGTCATCATGCGAGGAGTGCTCGTCATCGTTTTGATCATTCTCAAGGTAAGTTCACGAATCTTTCCAAGTTGACCGGAGCCCATGCCTTTTCCACCCGAAAGTTACAACTTGAATCAAGACTGACCATGTACGTTGAGGCGGCGCTGCTGGAAGACTTGTGTGAAGATGGGACTACTTGGGTGTTCGTGTAAGTAGAACGAGAATTTCTTAATCAAGCATCCCGTTAGGCTTTGTTTGAGTCACACAACCGAGGCGTCAGCCATGGTCATTAAGGTGAACGGCTGGCTCGCTTTACTTCTCGCCGTGGAGAACACAACAGAAAAATGCTGGCATTCACGCTCTGTGAGAAAGCATCCTCAGATTCTGCAATGTTTGCACTGGACTGCTTCCACCGCCCCTATTGGCTCTCTTCACATCTTACCCCACCATAATGTTTCCGCGCCCTGGCCTCGCCAAATCTTGACAGCCCTCCAAGTATCTTAGGGTGGCCGTGGTTGCGGAGAAGAATCAATAGATGTAGTCCACGGACATTGTTTTTCTCCGAGCTCTGACATCTCCCTTCTCCTTGCAGCCGTTCACGAGAGCGACCCTCCAGGTGATCGAGTTGCTGACGTTGGTGTGCGAGTTGTCTGTCGTCACGCTGGCGTTAGCTCTCGTGGTGCAGCAGGACGTCAGCCCCGCGGGGCAGCTGCGCAAGAACCAAGAGGGGCTCGGCTACACCATGATTGCCCTGCAGCTCCTGGCCGTCTTCGGAAACGTCGTCAACGCGTGAGAACCCCGCCCTGTGCTTTTAGTGTGACACTTTTAGAAAGTTTGATCTTTGCTCCACACAAGCGCCTCGGCTACGGGCCGCTATGTACAATCAAAGTCACGACACTTCGTTTTTTGCATTCTGCTACACACCAGATGAGTCGCGATCACGAAAAGCAAGTGGGGGCAGTTTCCGGCGCTGGCCAGGGTTTGCAGCGCGTCTGTGCACCCAGACAAAAATACTGTTCCTGCTTAAACAAGAAAGGGGTCCCCCAATTCGGAGCGCTCCGTCCTCACAAAGTTCTTTTTCTCTGCATGTAGCCTCGCCTCAGCGTGTCTGAAACTCTCCGACTATCTGCGGGGCAAGAAGAAGGCGCTTCCAGTCCATCTTTAGCAAACGGGACCTTATGGGGTTGCGTATCAAGGTATTGCGTCAAATATGACAGGACGCTCGAGAAGCATCACGGTGTCCGACATAGCTAGCTGTATGTTTATAGACTCTCGGAGTTTGTCAGAGACGCCAGATGAGTACAACTTTGGCTACTTGTAGTTGGGTCCGGTGAATACCGGGGGTCCGCTTTCTAAGAAGTGGCTATAGAGCTTTCCGGACTAACGGAAGATGGAGCAACAGAATAAGTACGTTTACATACACGTAAGCGGTTTGATTCGGGACAGGTCTGAAAAGATCCCAACTACAGTTATGTTCCAATAAAATGAATCTGAGCTTAGTTCCATCGTAAAGATGATACAATAATCAGGTTACTCAAGTATAACGACCTGAATGATTGTTGTGTATTTAGATCAGAGTGCTTGGATTTGACTACAAACTTGACATTTGATGAGATTTGACTACATTATTGGCCGGAGTGGTTATATTCCATCTGCATCCCACAATTCGCCAGACAAAGTCAAAGCGCGAATGAACGCTAACTTGTCCGCGTCTCGATCCCTTGCTGCACGCCCTATAGATACCTTTATCAGTAACTTCGACGGCTGTGCTTGTCGAAGCAAAATTTTGCGGGTCTGTATACATCAACAGAGCACTTGTACGTTGCATGCGAGATCAACGGAGCAAAGATTGTATTTCAGGCTGATCTGTACCCCGTTTCCATGGCGCCTGCATGCATAGCGCGGCCCGAGACATGTGTGTGGCGGCTGCATGGGCGTGATCGAAGGTGTCACAGAGGTCACAGTAGATTGAGCGTTAGGACAGTCAAAGCCACACTCTATATGTAGCCTATGAAAATGCCCTCAGTGCGACCCTGATGGTCATATTGGGTTATATAATGTCTGCAATTTGGGAACATGCCATCCGCATATTATAGAACATGCCCCTGCCAGCAAAGCACCTTCGGTCGGGCTAGACGCTATTGACAATTGAGAATGTACGTACGCACTAGGATGCGCGCGGTACGTTAATCATGGACGCGTGTCCTTCGTACATTTAAGGACTGGGGCGACAAAGACATGATCGAGATGCAGGCAAGGTACTATATGCCCCTCCGACCTCGCCGCCGCACTGAGCGCCGGTTCCTCTCCTCGGCCGTTGCTCCTAGCTTGTTTGACAATGTTACCGACACGCCAGTGCAACTACGCCAACGACCTCAGGCTAGCTTGGATCGCATATGACAAGAGTGCTTCATTACCGCGTGCATCCTTTACAATCAGCATATAGTCGACTGCACATGGAGTACTATGTTGTGCGTCAGCTGTCCAGTAAAAAACTCGGTCACGAATCCGCTCACGATTCTTCTTATGCATGTTCTAGTACAACACCTAGAATGTCGGTTGTCGCAATGTTCTACCGTGCTCACTACCGCACCTGCTTGTCTACAACCAGGCTTTCCTACACGTTGGTAACTACGTGTTTCTTGAGCGGTTGCTATGCTGCGCCACCGCAATGATCGCTTTCAGTGACTCTGGCTTTTCTGTCTTTGCAAATTTTACATACCTGCGGACATGGGTGCACCTTGTAGGCCCGTGTTTGACCACAACGGCGACGTGCTTACAGCACCACGGGACCATGATCTGTGCAACGTAACGTCCAGTCTTCTTGCCCCAGCGTCGCTGTGCTGCATCTTTTCTTATCTGACTGCCGCGTGGCGAGACCCCCTCGGCAGCCCTGTCGCTTACTGTGAACGAAGACAATTTGAGTTTGCTGCACCAGCCCACCAGCTGTGCGGCGTGAGCGGGGCCTGAACGTCGGTCCGCATGCCCGAAGTCGGCCTTCCAAGACGTACCTCGGATTCTTTGACCATCCTTTCGAGGACTTGACGTGTTTACGGTACCAGGAACGATGTTATCCCAGCACATATGTGCCCCGGCCCTAACCACCTAACCAAGTTGAAGCGTCTTTTGGGCAAGGGCAATTCTGCCCTTTTGGCCTCATAAAAACCGAAGGCGGGACAATAACCGACATTGGTTATGAGGGCGCGGAGGGCGGGTTGGGCGGCGCGACCCCGGTGTAGAGCGTGGTGGGGCGCGGCGGGAGCGGCGGCACCGGGAGGTGCCCCTCCAGCATGGCCAGGCACTCGCGCATGCACGGCCGCACGCTCACGGCAGTGTGGATGCACAGCAGGGCCACCTGGCACACACGCACGCGGGCGGCCGGTCAGGGCGCTTAAAAAAGCAGCAGCGATGCAGATCCGTGTGGAGGGGTGCCAACAGACAGAGCAGGCTAGGAGGGGGAGACAGACAACTAGTTCTTGAAGAGACAGTGCTGAAAGGATCAAGGAAAGATGGAACCGAGGGGCAGCCTTCACGTGAGTAATCTGCACGGAGAGGGGCTCAGTGGGCTTTGATGCTCGTTTGCGGAGCGGCTGCAGGCGTTACGCCAACTGAAGGCACCGGAAAGCGTCGGCAGCGCGCGCGCGCTCACCCTGGTGGCCTGCTCGATGCTGTGCGCGTGCTGCTCCCGGCCGCTGCCGAGGCGCGCGTCCACCAGGTCCGCCAGCTGGCCGCGCTCCGCCAGGATCCAGGCCCACTCCGGCAGAAACGCCTGCGCCACTCCGCAAAGGCATCCACCGTTGTTCACTTGAAAAGAGCCGCAGGACGGGCTCGTTTGAGCAGAGACAAGAGATGGTCAGTGTCATTCGTCTGTGAATACCCGGCAAGTAGCACTTCCACTACTTGGCGGCCTTTCATCTCAGCGTCATCGCAACCCAAAAAGCATGTTATTAGATTCCGGTGCCCCACGGATTATGCCCTCGTATGCTCGCATTGAGACCCGCAGTTAGCTGCGCTTCAGGGTCACAGCTATGCAGAGTTGCCGACGGGCATGATCCAAAGAATTGCTCCAGTCAACCCGTGCAGGCAACGAAGGAGCGCTTCCAGCCTCCAGAGACACTTGAATGGGACAAGCTGCGAGGCTCGTCCAGGAAGTGTGTGTTTGAAGTTGAGGATTTTACAGTTGTGGTGCTTTACCTGGTCGCCGTCAGGCGGGTCTGCGGTGAGCTTCCTGCCGGCGACCAGGGTGAGCAGCAGCACGCCAAAACTGTAGACGTCCACCTTGTCCGTGACCTGCCCTCCCAGAAAGTACTCGGGCGCCAAGTAGCCCCACGTGCCCACCACGTCTGCAGCCGGACGGAGAGACAACGTTACAACGGTAACGGGCTCGAGGATGAGGGGGGGCCACCAGTGGCATAGAAGAGAGCTGCATCTTTGGCAAGCGAACACCAGTCTCGCTTGCCACAGGACAGAAAGTTGTCTAGCTCAATCTGCGAAGAATCTTCGTAGTACATCTTGAAAACTGGACAGTGTCGCATTGTCTGCCGTTGACAAGCTCGTGGTACCGCTGAAGTCTCCCAAAAAAGACGCGAAGATACACAAATATAAAAAGGTGATTGAGCATAAGTGTGCATGCCAGTCCGCAGAGGCCTTTGGGGCGGCGCTTGCCTGTGGTAACCGCCGACTCTTCGAGGTCCAGAACCTTGGCTAAGCCGAAGTCCGCTAACTTAGGCTCCAGCGTGCTGGACAACAGAACGTTGCTCGGCTTGACGTCGCGGTGAAGTAACCGCGGCTTACACGACTGCCAGCAGGAAGTAAGGTAGAAAGTCAGGTGCATATCACCAGTAAGGAAGCGTCGCCTGGACCCTCGGTGCCGAGAGACCACATTAAACGTCTGCTTTTTAACGAGGTTTGAGGAAGGACAATAAGTCATAACATTTCCAGTGATTATGCATCACAGTGAGCAGCGGAGATCAATTGCTTCCGACCTGCATCTGGACGAACAGTAAGATGAATGGGAAAACAAACAAACACCAGATTTCATATGAATCCAGCAAAAATGCAAGTGAGGACAACCTTGAAATGCCATCCCTCCTCCGAGAGAACCTCACTTCTAGCTTCTGGCGGTGCAGCCTCCCTGTCAACATCCACTCCCTGAGTGCAATCCCTGACTGACCTCGTGCAAGTAGGCCAGTCCCCGCGCCGCGCCCTGCGCTATGCTGAGCCGCGTCGGCCAGTCCAGCACGGGCAGGGCCGGCGGCGCAGCCCCATCGGTGAGAAGGCGGTCCCCCAAGTTGCCGCCCGCCAGGTACTCGAACACGAGCACGCAGTCGTCCCCGGTCAAACAGAAGCCCTTGAGCGCCACCAGATTGCGGTGCCGGCACCGCGCTAGCGCCAACACCTCCCGGGTCGCAGCCTGCGCGAACAAACGGCCTAAACGTTCAACGGGCGGAGACCATTGCGGCTTCTACTGGTTAGCAGGTGGAGCAGACAACGCACGCTTGTCAAGTTCGTCACAGAGGTGGTTTCAAGATGGGATGCCGATTCGCCTCAACGCAGCCCGCCAGCTGAATTGCCTCTTCCCGCAACGCCGCTCGCTACCAATCCAGTGACCAGAATCCACTGGTCTTTGTTTTGCTGAGTCCCTCACCGCTGGCCCTGACAACACGACAATACCTGGTATAAAACAAGTCAACATGATTGAACATGTCGTTGTAGCTAGGAGGATGCAACTGACATTAAGGTCGCACCCGGCACATGTCCCGCACGCTCCCCTTTTGGGCATCCTTCATGGCGGGTTACATCTGCACACGTCAAGTCCTCGGAAGAAGGAAGCTTCTATCCGTTCCCCCCCCTGCGTTGCTGACCTTGGTCCTCCTGGCGAGGTTCTTGTGCGTGGCCACCTTGACGGCCACCGCCTCCCCCGAGCGCAGCGTCCCGCGGTACACGCGCCCCCAGCCGCCCTCCCCCAGCAGCCGCCGCTCGTCCCAGTTGTCCGTTGCGCGCCGCAGCGCCGCCAGGCTGAACCGCTGCAGCTGCACGTGGGGCAGCACGTGGTGCCGCCGCCAGCGCGGCCGGCACCCCCCATACACAACCAAACCCGCGAGCGCTATCAGGGCCGCGCACCCGGAAGCGATCCCCAAAATCGCCCCGGTTGACACCCATGTTTTCGAGGGGGGCGCTGGTAGGCCCAGCGCGAGGGGGGGCGGGAAGACGAAGTAGCAATTGAGGCGGTCGGTGACGGCCTGCAGGTTGTCGAAGCGCGCAAGGTATTGCGCGGACATGAAGAGCACGCACAGGGTCAGGATCGTCGCGCTGCTCGTGTTGGCCAGCTGCGCGCCCACCTCGTAGTAGCTGCGCTGGCACGCGGTGCAGTCGGGCACGCGCGGGTTGCACCGCTCCTGGAAGAAACGAGTCAGCGAATGAATGCCGGAAGATTTAGTGTGTTGAATCCCTCCAAATGCCTCTTGGTTATGCTTGCTGGCAGCACGCGGAGAGAAGAGTGGCAGGAAGAGAGTACCACACAGGTTAAGACGACCCGAAAAGACGGCGTTCGAACTGCTTTACGTCTTTTCCATCATATGTGAGCTACAATACTTTGCTGAGGTCGCATCGTTGCCCGATACTTAGCAGACAAACGGGCATGCAGAGCACGATGCAGGGAACGCCAAGAGCCCCCACTTGCCGGCCCGTATTGCTTGAGAGCTGCGCATTACCTCGAGGTAGTCGATGTAGTGGGCCGGCACCATTTGCCCCGCGGCCGTCTGGTTGTAGCAGCCGATGGGGACGGAGGGCAGGATGGCCTGGATGCGGCACACGTCGACCACGCTGGGGGACACGCCGCGCGCCTGCAGCGCCGCACGCAGGCCCGCCATGCACACGTCGGCTTCCTCCTGAAGGGCGCACGCGGGGCGGGGCCAGTGTGAGACGATTGCTCATTGGAGGCACGGTGGACAATCAGCACAAGAAGCGGATGCAACCCGTGTAGAGCCGCCGTGGATTTGGCGGAGGCCAGAGCAGAGGCAACTGACTTGGCAAACATCACGCAACACAAGGGGTGCCCAGGTCGTTGTGGTGGTTGAGAGCGGTTCCTCAGGGATGGAAAAGCTCGTTTTGTTAGTTGTTTGACCGACGTCAGCTTGCTTGCCGCCGTTTGAAATCGCTCTGAGGCAGGGTGGTTAAGTACAACATGCAACTGAAAAGGGTGACCGTGTTCAGATCTACCGGTTTCGTCGGGTGCATTCCTAATCCTGTCTGCCCTAGAAATAAGGGTTGTTGATGGGTCACCTGCGGGATGGGGTGACCAGTGCGATTGGTGTAAATGGCGTGCACCTGTGGCAAAGAGGTAAAGGGACTCGAGTCAAAAGGAGCTGTCACAGAAGGCCGTCTCTTCGAAGTTAGGCAACGAGAATGATGAAAAAGAGTGAAGACTGATCTAAAAAATCACCTGTGATTAGTCGTTGTGGACGGCTGGTTCGTGGAGAAAACATAGATAAGCCGGCATCACTGAATGCTTCATTCTTTGGATTTCTGATAGCATCGCTGGTCGCTGCGGGGGTTTGCAGGCTGCCTAAGACAACTACACAGCCTTCCCTTTGATGATGACACGTTGTCTCTATTCTCCTACCTGGCCGTACATCCCAATGAAGAGGTCGCAGCAGCGGTCTTTCCGGACCTGCTGCGGCCCACAGCTGAGCTGCACCGCCGTGAAGTTGGCTGCCTCCCAGTCAAACGCGGTGCAGCGCGTGGACAGCTGCACGCGGCTGATGTCCACCTTGTGCAGGCACTGCGACAGCCCGTTCGCAATCAGCAGCGGGTGCGCCGCCGCGGTCATGGCCACCTGCGCAAGGCCTGCTCCGACCAAGGAAAGGGGGGGAAATACTGTCATTCGCATGCGCATTCAATGGTCTTTTGCTGCTTCTAGATGCTTGCTTAAACCCCCTGTAGCTTGGCCTGTCGCCATAGCTCAGCCTTGAGATCACCATCCCCCATATCTTCTGGCAGTAAGAGAAAAGGGCTCCGGTGGAGCGAACCCCATCGACGAAAACATGCGGGCAAACACATGTGCCAAGCAACACCATCTTGGCCAGTATGAGATCCAGAGGTGGTTGCCTGTTGTACGGAAGCCCACCTTGACAGGCGTCGCTGCTGAGCGTAGCGGGGGTGGCGGCGGCCCCCAGGGACAGGATGGCGCTGCGAATGCTGGCCAGGCATGATGTGCAGTCGGCCGCCTCGTAGCACGCAAGGCCCACCAGGCCTGGACACAGGCCCCCCACCACAGAGACTGGTAAGTTACACATGAAGACTACTGAGGCTTCCACTCTGCAGACGACACTGCTAAGGGAGAGTGCACCACCAAGCACATCGCCGTGACCCATCTCGCTATTGCATTCTAAACGTAGAGCTGTCTGTGTGCCCTTGCCCCCTCTCAGGATGACGCTCTCTCACCCGGGAACGTGTGATTGGCTGCCTCCCAGAAGTCATACACGGTGGTGAGGCCTGGCCCACACGCGGCGCCTGCCTCCTCCGTCAAAAGGGAACTGCTGAGGCCGCACGCAGCGACAGGGGGCCCGCCGCCGGCTGCCAGCAACGCGTTTAGCGCCTGCAGGAAGAGCGGAAGGCGCTCTATAGGCTGTGCAGATTTGAAAAGTCAACTGCCGGACTTGACAGGTTTCACAAAGAGGAGGAGGGAAAATGAAGTTGATATCAGAGGCGGCCCACCTACAGGGGCAGCTTTCGAGGGTATGGACGATATGGAGGGTATGGAAGCGCCTCCGACCTCTGAATGGATCAATCCATCTCACCAGATTGCAGAAGCCCCACATGACAACCAAAGCCACAGGTGCATTGAAGACTGCGTCCCACTGAGCTGGAGCCAATCTGTCTGGGCATGGGACAGCGCAGCGATAGAAGATTTGCGGTCGCCACAAGGATCAGTCTACAAGACCGCTAACCAATGGGAGTCACGCCCTCACAGGGCGGCTACAACCGTGTTCGCTCCTACCTGGACGCACGCCTCCGCCGATGCCTGCGGCAGCAGCAAGCGCCCGGTGCTGTTGGCGTAGCGCACACGGGACGCAAACATGCCCGCTGTCACCAGGGAACAGCACGCAGACGAGGGGCCCGCTGCCGAGGAGGCCGACCCATCTGGGGCAGCAAGGGGCGTCCGATCAGTCACACCACCGTGTGTGGTGGTCGCGTGCGGCTTTGATGATGATGTACACCATTCTTGGTACAGAGCGAAGCATGTCTGTAAGGAGGTATTATGCACTTCAACTATGTCAACATGCTTGCTTCAGCTGAACGGCAATATACAACGGACTCTGTTCAGTTCACCGAGGGCTCCAAAAAACTTCTGGGAAAGTCTGCCTTACCTGCGGAGCACACCGCAAGTGCGCGTTGCGTATCAGCAGGTAGGAAGGTCAGAGGACACTCTCCATTAGGAATTGGAGGGGGCAACGGCCGGTCTGGTCGAGGGGCTGTTTCCACGTAATCTGCCCCACTCGGCACCACCGCCGCCGCCAAAAGGGCCAAAGCCCAAAAGAAAAGCATAGGGGCCGACAAGGACATCGTGCTAATCGACCTGCTAAAGCAGCGAGGTATCAGATAGGGATTGGCAGGGAGCGGCTGTGCCGCTCGCGATCATTGCACGTCGTCATTGAGCCGCCAATGTGCTGTACAGCAGCTGGTCGCTTTCCACTGTGTGGCAAGCAGAACGAGAGGAATCACCGAGTCGGGCGGTTGTGCGCCGCCATGGCCCACGCCACGATGTGCACCTGAATTATCAAGGCGGCTCATCATGCTCAGCAGACGGCATCATGCATGATGCAACCTGCCCTGCGGTAGCCAAACTTCCAAGGCCCACCATGGTGCGGGCCATGCCGTTTCAGCTATAGCGTATATGTAAACTGTTTATTTCCGGACACAAAAACGACTGATAAGCCGAAAAATGGAGAGGTACCCGGGCACCCGGCACGTATTCGACGGCCCAACACCAACTAAAAAGGCAGGGCCCATATTGCCGAAAGTCGGGAGATACCCAATCTTTATATTGCATGGATATTTTGGGAAGCTGGTGAGTCTGCGAACGGCCGACGTTCACGAATAACGACCTATAGTATACACGCCGCCGACGGCCAGCCCTGATGACATCCCCATCATTGCGCAAGCTTGCCGACTGGATCCTGGCCGGCAGAATCCAACCGGCCATTCGCCGCTCGGGGTTTCATCTTCAAATGTTAACCTTTGAGTTACCTGAATGGTTCAGAACATGTGGTTAAAGCTACTGGCCCTGTAAAGCTGGTTTGATTGGCCAGACAGGTGGCTCAAACCCTAATCTAAGTCCCAACTCCTTGAAACCCCAAACTGAAACCCCGGGTCCCATGCACGGCCTTAAAAGTGATCCCACGCGTGGCACTGGTGGGCCATCCTCAGGCTGGCCTTACTACTTCTAGCCGACATGCAGGAGTAGCATGGCGGGATGATGCTGGGTGGCAGGCGAGCTGCCTATCGCGGTGTCTTCTGCGAATTCCGTCCTGATGTATCTGATGTAAATTGTAGGATTGCAGCAGCTCAATGACAGGGCACATGGCTCGAGCGTTCCTTTCTGCTTTTTTCCTCGTCCTCTGCATCTCATGCTTGGCCACGATCGGCGCCACAATCTCTGCGCCGCACCTGGTTCTCGACCTCCCGCTGCATCAGGATGAATTCAGGTCTGTCGCGTCCGCTGCCGCTCCCCGGCCGCCGGCGCTGGCGGGCATGCAGGCCAGCCTCTCTAGCGAGGGACTCAACTACGTCAAAGAAGTGCTGGTGCAGCAGGTGAGGCGGAGCGTGCACGGAGGGAGGCACAAGCGTTATTTCCATCCTCGTGTTTGCAATATCTGTAATCCAGCAGAAATGCAGCAATGAAGTTGGGTTGCTCGGGCCTGGAGACTTCACTCGATCATGCTTCTGGAATCTCCATCCTCTGAGATGCTTGGCGCCATTTCTGAGCGTAGGCTGCCCTCCACCTTGCCGCAGATCCTCCAGCAGCAGCTGCCGCTGGTGGTGCCGGACCTGCGCGTGCGCGAGCGCTCCCCAATTGGCCATGTGGACGTGGTGCTGTCGCACATCGTGCTGCCCAACATGAGCGTCCCCGAGGCGCACATCGACCTGGAGCCCGCGGGGGCCGTCATCACCATCTTTGCTGCGGGGGTCACCGCCAACGTGTCCCTCAGCTGGGCGTACAAGGTAGCCGCGCAGTATTGGCCGTGGCCCATGGGGGACGCCGGGCGCGGCCACATCGAGATTGAGGGGCTGCAGACGGGGGTCAGCTTCCGACTGAAGCAGGTGAGAGAATCTGAGGAAGGGCGATCGCGGCACCGGTATGGCAGGGGCACAGCAGGGGGTAGCTGGCGTAGACATTGACCTGGGCACTGTGTTGATCCTTGTGAATTGCATGATTCCTGAAGCATTGATCTCCAACTTTCTGTGAAAAGGAAACAGAAACTGCAACTCTTCATTGTTTGCCTGCTTCGGTTCAATCACTGGGGAGGCGCGTTGATTGCCCGTCGATCGGTTCTGTAGTATTCTGTCCCCATTGATTGATGCTGACGTGCTACGCGGGTGGGCCTCTCAGGCTGGGGGCGGGGTGCTGCTGGAGGTGGTGCAGACGGGGACGTTCATTGAGGCGCTGCACGTGCACCTGTCGGGGGGCCAGTCGTGGCTGTACAACTGGTTCATCCAGGTGCTGGGGGGGAAGATCCGCGCCGCACTGGAGAGCGCCGTTGGGGGGGGAGTCGCCAAGGGGGTCGCCAAGCTGGACAAGTGAGCGCCAGCTGGGGCAAAGGGCCTCTCAGCGCGCGCGAAGCTTTAACCCAGCAGTACATTTGACATCCGCAATCCACTTTGCTGAGGTGGAAGAGTGCCCTGGTCCCTCGTTGTGTTGTTATTTTGATGCTGAATTGATGTCTCCTACTGTGCAGATTCTTGCAGACGCTACCACAGCGCATCCCAGTGGACCAGTTTGCGGCCATCGACGCCACGCTGCTGCGCGACCCCCTTGTCGAGAGCGCCAGCCTCAGCTTCCCCCTCTCCGGCCAGTTTGTGCCCACAGCCGGCCACCCTCCCCCTTTCACGCCTGCCCCGCTGCCCTTCCCCGCGCTGTGCGGGGCGGAGCGGCCGCACGCGGTGGCCACTGTGAGCGCAGCGGTGCTCAACAGTGCGGGGGCCGTGTACTTTGCAGCGGGGCAGCTCACGTGGCCCGTGGACGAGCTGCCAGCAGGGTCGCCCGTGCAGGTGACACGCGCGGGCCGCGCTCGAGAAGTCTCGGAGTTCAAGTGGTTGCTTTGGTACCAGTGGACTCGATGGGCGGTCTCACTATTGTGCAGTCTTCACCATCTTGATTTTGGTCCATCGACTCCTGGAGCACAAGTTGGTTCGCCTCTAATTCGTGTACAGTTGTGACGTCGCCTGTGCGTATAGAAAAACTTTCGGCATTCCCTTCTGGGACCAAGTGCAGTCCCTTCATGTTTCGAAATCATGTCTTTGTCATTACGTCCTCTGTCCATCTTGGCGAAGCTCGTTTCCCCCTAAGTGCATCATGCCGCCCGTGTGATAAGTTGGTCATCTTTGAACTTGCTTGCCAGGGTTGGAGAATACCCGTCAAAGGTAGTTTACAGAAACAACCCTTCTGTGCTCGTCCCGTTGACGAGAGTTGACAACGTCTTTGCTTTGCTCCTCGGAGTTTCGTCCTCAAGAGCCGTTCTGCTTTCATGTATTCGAACCCAGTAGACCCAAAGTTGAAAGGTTGCCCGGACTGGGAGCAAGCAGCAGCTTGAGCGTGCCGTTCAGACCCACAAGGGCGTTGAGCAACCAGACCCAGCGAGTCGGCCGTTTGGGTCGATACTGACTCTTTGTCCTGAGTTTTTGGTTGTCCAAGCTGAGGTGATAAAGTAGCTTGAATGTTGTCGCCTCTGATGGGATGGAGTACTTTAACTGTCTAGATTCGAGGGTCAGAGCGTGAATATCCTCGTAACTGCCTCAGATGCAGGCGGCTCTCGACAGAGACTCATATTGTGGAACTTCGAGTGACTGCAAGACAGAATGGTGCACTTTTAGCTGCATGCATCTGAGCGGAACCACCATGAGCTTGCGAGAATGCAGGCTGGAAACCCGGACCCACTGGCGGCCTGCAGGCGGAATGGGCCCTGCGGGGCTCCCTCTTCCAATTGGTCGCTTTCCCCCGCCTGCTGACCCCGTGCGCTGTCCCCCTGCGCAGCTCAACACGCGCAGCTGGCGCTTCCTGCTGCCGCGGCTGTACCTGCAGTACCCGGACGCGGCCATGGCGCTAAACATCAGCTTCACCGCCGCGCCCGTTGTCACGCTCGACCCGGACGGCGTGGCCGTGGCGGCGCAGGCGGCCATGGAGATGCAGGTGCTCGACCAGGCGGGGGCGCGCCAGGGGGTGGCCGCCATTGGCATCAGCGCCACGTTCCAGGGGGCCGCCTACGTGCGGGTGAGCAGCAGGGGAAAAGGGGCGGCTCCGAAGGCGCTCAAAGCTACTGCCTCGCTCGATCTGGGGGTAGAGGCTAGATTGTTCAGAGGGCGGCTGTCTCGCTTGCGTGGGTGACCCTCTGCGTGTACTGCTCTAGTCCGATGCATGCCTGGAGGGCTGCCGAGCACCGGTCTCGTCATCTGGCTGGCTAGACACACCTGGTGTATGAGTAGAGGTGATTCGTGCTGTCATCGACGGGCTGTGTTCATCTCCATATGGTGGCCCGCTCTTTGATGGAAGTCGGACACTGCGTGTGCGAGTACCAAGTACTTCTGGTGCTACTACCGTGCTGCACCATTCCTGCAGATAGCTGCATGCAGTGCTGCTCGTGCATTCATTCAACTCGCGACCTGCCCCGTCCTCCGGCTCACGTGTGGCCCCCTCATGCTTTGGCTGACGCGCGCTGTTTGTCGCAGGGCAACAACGTGACGGGCGCGGTGCACCTGGACTCGCTGCAGCTGGCGCTCCTCTGGTCGCACATCGGCGACTTCCACATGGGCCTCATTCAGGTGCGTCGGGGGCACAGGCAGAGCACACACACGCGACAGTCAGCCGCAGACACGTCATGCTCACGGTTCAACTCAGGCTTGGCCGAGGCGACCATGCTCCTAATCGGTCGACTTGCAGTGGGTCTTTCCTGTTGCAGTGCCTGGGAGCGTGGGATCCTCAGTTTGGCGTGGTGAACGCGCGTGTTTCCGACCGCGCTAGCCCTCGTTTGGGTGGCCGGCCTCTGACCGGTTTTGCAGGCCGCAGCCAGAGAGCAGCCCAAGCTAGCGGCGCAGCGGGCCTGGCCCCGCTCGGATCCCCCCTCGTTTCGCGTCAGACTGTCTCAAGAACAGGGGTTGGCTACTGCCCTTTCCTCACGTTCGCGCGTCCCTGATCGTCCCCCCGCGCTGGTGTGCAGGCGTCGGTGCGCAGCGTGGTGTCGCTGGTGGTGCTGCCGCAGGTGAACCGCCGCCTCGCCACCGGCTTCCCGCTGCCCGTCGTCCCCGGGGTCCGCCTGCGCAACTCGTCGCTCTGCTATGCGCCCGACAGCCTCATCGTGTGCACCGACGTGGAGTACCGGGACGGACAGGAGGGGCAGCGAGAAGAGGAGGGGGCGGGCGAGCGCACGGCTGGGGCAGGCGGAACGAGAGGATGGGGCAGCTGGCGGCGGTGGATTCCATAGCGAAACCCTACATGCCTCCTAGATGCTCGCGAGCTTGTAAATCTGCTGAACAGCCTGTATATTATCCAGCATAGCCGATGGTTGAAAGTTTGTCATAGAAGGTGATTGGCCATGCCTGACCTTCCCCTGTTCTCTCATTTGCAAGGCATGGCGGCCTTAAGCCATGGCGCGATTAAGGCATGGCAAGGCCGCCATGCTGCAATTGCTTACTCAAGCAAAATCCGTCAATGGATTGTTTGGTTCCAGAGTGCTTACTGAAGGACGCGAGCTTGTTGGGAACCAAGTTTATTGTGCTTCCGAAAGTAAAATAGAGCTAGCTGATTGTCGACCACGCAAGCCTTCCACTTGTATCTCATGCCTCCTTTTTCTGAATGGCCTTGTTGGAGAATGCATCTAAGTCCGGTTGAGATGTGAAAGCGGCCATTTCGATCGCAACGAATGTTATTGCAGTTGAATTGTAGGGCCTGCATTTTCGTGTGGCTGTCTAACTCGATCACATCTGGTTGAATGGGGCATTTAGTGCCGGCCTTTTTAACTTCGACTTGGCGGAAAGATGGGGCATTTAGTGCCAGCCAATTTACCTTCGACTTGGCAGATTCAGTGATACAAGAAATGTAGACTGTATCCAAATCGACAATTCTTAGTCTCCCTTTAACTATAGATTATCCATGCTCACTAATTATTGATTCGTACATGGAGTTTCAAGCAAAGATGGGATTCGCGATATGGCAAACTGAAGCTGTACGTGTTTGGCAGTACGTGTTACATGTGATCGAGCACATTCATATACACATGCATGTATGTAATTTGATTGCGCACATTATATGCAGCCACATGCGAGATATTTTGTCCGATGCCCCTTATTGTTAGGCTCACTGCATTTGTTGCACGAGTTGGTCGACCGATCCGGCCAGGCGGACGGGTGTACACAATTGGGGCGTACAGAGGTGAATGGGAGTACTGTCGATGTGTTTCGATTGACCAAAGTTTTGTCATTTGACATTCAGAAATCTATCGAAGGAATCAAAGTTCAATTATCACTCAAGGGTTGGAAATACGGAAATTACCCGCGATTCGTCGTGAAATTGATACGATGGCCGGAAATGAACACAAAGCCAGTCGAATTCTGGAACACAACTATAGCAAGCCAAAGACGAATTTATGCAGCAGGCTCTAGCATAATGATCTGAAAACCATTTTTCGGGGACCTTGAAAGCCTTCTCATCAGTAACATACGGTGGTTCATACCGTACCGCCAAGGGAATTGACCTCCATTATATATTTTCGGGTCAATATGAAAATGTTGAAACTAAATTGAGACCTGAGGGTGAAATGGCGTGATGAAGGAAACATGCAAAAACAGCTCTGTTCTATTGGATTGCGTGCTAAAAACTCGAAATTTCGATTTCTGCAAGAGGAAAAACAAATATTATGATTGCAGGGTGAATCTGAAAACGTTCATGATTAACTGTTACGCACAAAAAGGTGGTGGCAGTCATGCAGGACATTTTGACCAAGATAACAAATTTCAATGCAAGTCCGGGTGCATGCGACGTATCAAATGCACAGAAAGCTGTAGACACCAGTCAAATTAAATAGTCGAAGTCCAAAACCCACTGATCGGGGGGGCCTAGGCTTATTGCCAGAATTCTGGCAATGCTTGCACCGCGGCTTAATTTCAAAGTTTTCGGTTTACCTCACTGATAGCACCTCACCAAGACCTTCTCAGTCATAGTCTCTCCTAGGTGCATCTGAAAATTACAGTTTCCGATGCTTGGTGCTATGCCAAGCAATGCGCCTGGCCACAAACTCTACGTATCTCGAATCCCAGCTTGGAGGTCTATTACAACTACGCTTATGTTGTCTCCCGACCCTCGGGCCAAAGCTACCTTAGTAAGAACCGCAGCGGCGACGGCGGCTGGCCCCTGCTCATCTGAGGGGTCCGGCCCTGCGCGAATGGTGGGGGCAGCCCCGAGGCTAGTGGAGGATGGCCCGGACGACCGCCGCGGCCGTTGACTGCCCCCACTGGGTGTGCTGTCCCCTGAAGCTGCGACTGACGCGGAGGTTGCGGCTGCCCCCGCCTCTGCTTTGGAAGTCGATGCCCCTTGGCTACTGCGCCGCCGGGACTTGAGGCAGCGGCGGGCAATGTCACAGGCCTCCCGGTTGTTCACGACATCCCACAAACCATCACTGCAAGGCCAACCGCAGAGATGAGCACTTTGTGAAGGTGCAATACTTAACAAGCACAGTTGAACACCTAATTCGACACATTCCGCAGGCTCACAGAACCAACAGACAAGCACTCTACAAAGCAAGAACAAATGGAATTCGTTGCTGGCATATGGCTGCTTGCGCAAACTCCTTGTCTACCCTTTCCTGCGCTCTCACCTGGCCAAAATGAGGCACTCGTCCTCTTTGCTCCGGTCTGTGCACATGATCTCGGGCTCTGAGATGACATATGGTTTCAAGTAACGATCGCCTGCAAGGAGCGCCAGCGAGAATGTAAGGACCCCCTCCACACAACCGGCCAATGGACGATCTTCATGCCCCAGCCACAGGAGTGTTGGAATGCAAGGGTACAGCTTTCACTGCTGCTCTCACCTATTGCTCGTGACATGGCAAGCACCCCCAGGACGCGATAGCCATTCCAAAAGATGACGCGACCCCCCGCTGCTTCCACGCGCGCCATCTCATCCTCTCGGTCGGGCTGCATAGCATGAGGCACATGCAACTTTAGAACCCACAGCTCACAGCTATTGCAGGCAAGGATAGCAACAAGCTTGGCAGCAAAGGGGATCCACCACATGTGTGGCAGACCAGGGACTGAAACTGACTGCAGCTGGAGAAACTGTTAAAACCTCCTCTAGACTGGATTTCAGCTATAGGCAGCACCCTAGTGAGGTGGTCAAGGGGGTGACAGACTCACCTTGTGATCTGTGGACAGGGGCACTGCTTCCCCTCCTCGAGACAAGACCGCCCTGGAATCGCCGCAGTTTGCAACCACAATCCTCCCCCCCCCAATCAAAGCCGCCACTGCAGTGGTCCCCACTGTCTCTGCCGCGATTGGCTCTGAGCCATCGATGGCCATCCCCTCTGAGTTCGTCCTGGCCAGCCCTGACACTTCCGCATCCAAGCGGTTGAATGTGGCCGACAGGGCCTCCAGCATCGGCTTCTCGCTCGCACTGCCATCTATGGGCTTGGAGGAGCATCTCCTGATCTCTTTCGCTAACGAATTGTGCAGCTTGTCTGCACAGTACGTGGCAACCTGCAGACAAACCCCCAGCCACTTCATCAAACCGGAGCAGAGGGGAGGTCAGTTCGACGAACCAGGGATCGTCAGGTTTGCCTTACTGCACTTCCATGCAACAACGTTACCCACAACCTGGACTTCTTTCAACAAGCTAATCACTCTTGCCATGGCTGCAATCACGATCTCCAACGAACACTCGGGGCCCTAAATGCAGATTACCAATGGGGCGGAGCCACATGTGCCCTGCCAGTGTTTCTTAAATCATCAAGACTGCTGCTTGACGAGGTGCATTGGTCCCCTGCATGCATGCATGCACTCCCTGCCACCTTCTCCCACATCCTTGTCAACCTCAAGCTCGGGGGCTGCTCCAACTTGCTGCCAGAGAAGGGCAACCAGGGAAGTGCATGCATGCACCTACCAGGGTAGCCCATGACGCTGCCAAGATGGTGGTGCTGCTGTGAGAACACACTGCTCGTTAAGTGAAGCAGGGTATGTATGATGCTTGCCACAGCCATCGGCTGCAGTGCATGCTAGCAGCCCTCACAAAGACAGTCTAATCCGTGGCTCACCTGCGATCCCCCGTGGCCATCGTACACACCAAAAAAGTGCAGAGGAGCTTCCTCTGTCACTGCTCGGAGTGCAGGGATGGGTGGGAAGTGCACCAAGGAAGGAAACGCCGCAACTGCATCTTCCATCTCTCGCCTTCTGCCGCAGACTGAAACTAACCCATGCGGAGGGCAATCCAAATCCGCCATGGTATGCTCTCGGCCACTGGTGCTGGCGAAGCTGTCAGACTCAACACTGCTCTGAGCTATCCTGGCCCGGTCAACCCTTCTATCCAGCACCCTCTCGCTCGTGCCCTCCTCTATGACAGATACATTCTGCGTGGTCAGCGTGGTCGCGCTGTCGGACTCATTACTGAACTGAGAAGACTCCACTACCCCCGCCTTGAAAGCCTGGTCTGTTGTCACTGTTGCGCTGCACTCACGCTCCGCCGGCCCCTCCTCCCCTTCCGCCTCCTTGCTTCCCCGCATGCCTTTGTCTGCCCGCATGCTCTGTGCAGTCTCTCTACTCGTAGGAGACTCCCCCCTGGATACCTGATAGTCCGCACCTTCCTCTTTACTAGCACCTGGGACACTTGGAATGGCCAAAGACAAATTCAAGGGGTCTGTCAACGAGCTTTTCGTCCCACTGTCTGCTTCCCCTGCACTCATCTCCACCTCCGACGACACACTAGAACTCGTGCTTGTATCGGAATTGCTCGATGACTTCCTGCGTCCGTCCGTTGCATCCTCGTTCTCCCCTTCCTGCGTTAGATTTGGGTTGGGTCCCCCTGGATACATCTTCCCGTGCGAGTACTTTGGCTTTTTGAACATCTGGCGGTGGGGAGCAGGGCCGAACCTTGCGGCGTCAAGGTCAGACGTCCGCATGGCTGTGAATGAGGGGAGGGACAGGGGAGGCCAGGAACGAGTGGATTGAAAAAGCCCTCGGAAGCATTCTCGCCAATCACAGCCCTATCCTCCTCAATTGGTCGTCCTTCCCGCTTCAGGTTGGAGAAGACAAAACCAGAAGTTCTTTCAACAATATTTCCGTCCTGATCAACGCCGGAGGCAACCACGCCGTCATAGCCTCCTCAAGCTTCTCCGCTTAGACTTCTCTGCGGCCAGTGCCCATGCAGACCTGGCCTTCTCGGAGGGAGAGTTTGATGGAAGGATGACAGATTGCAGAACTGCAGAAACTGCAATGCGCGAATGAGTCAGACAAGTACCAGTAGGAACTGAACTCTGTTCTGACTGATCAGTCAGTCAGTCCCCAGTGGGTCGAAGCTGTTCACCCTTGCAAAGGGGTTGGCCTCCCTGGGCAACGGCGGTTCCCAGCGGCGGTGTGAATTGGCGCCAGCTCTCCTGGAGCCGTACAGAAAGTGATGACGAGTCCACGGTGGACGCTAGTCACGTCATCTGGCCACAATCATCGCCGCCAGGTGTCCCAGATTTACCCGTTCTAAAAACAGTTACCGCGCACCAAGTCCGCGTGGCAAAAGGTTGCATGGCTGAAGCAGGTTAGTTGGCTGCGAAGCTGTCGAACAAAATCTCCTCCTCTGAATGTAACGCTGTTTTTGAGTAATATCTGTTCGATGGACACATGTCGCCCAGGTGAGTCCGCGACATCCAGATTTGGACAAATAATATCGACCACCTGGTCCGCGGTCTGGACCGTTCGATAGTCGAGGAACCGGAAACACGCTAGCCGTAGGATCCCCGTCAGCAGATGGACAGAGGTGAGATGGATGGAAAACTTGATCCTGGCTCTAGTTGCCTCAAAGCCTCCGGTATACCCCTGGCAGCGGCCAAGCGGCGGCCGTGGCGGCTGGCGCAGCGCGGCCGCGTGCCGGCTTGGTGCGGCCGGGCCCCGGCCTGTGACGCTATGACTAGCTTCAAATCAGACTTATATCTATGGCGCAAAAGCTTCTGGCAAAGCATTCTCCTTTCATTAGTGTTTCCGCTCCCTCACTGAAGTAGATGTAAAGCGTGACACTCAAACACTTAAAGTCGTCTTAGTCGTGATTCTGACAATGCCGGGACTTAGTATTACCGTGTGACGATTGGGCTATGGTTAAGTCTAACCGTAGGCCCCGGAACGAGAATATTGGAATAGGAAGATCGGGTTTTTGGGGCTCCAGGAATTGGAATATCGGGATCTTTTGGCCTAGGAATCGGAATATTTGGTTTTGAGATTATTTTTTTCACGGAATATGGAATACTGCAAAATTAGTGCACGAATCCGGGTAATTTGAATTCCTAAATCTCAAAAATTTCTTGGAATCTGGAATATCCAAAGTCATATATTCTCGTTCCGGGGCCGATAACCGCACAATCACACGGCAGTCAAACCTTCGGGTTT